GGCTTCATTCTGAGATAGATAGGAAGATAGGTTCATGATGATCTATGACAAGTACATCATAATTACATTGTAATTAAAGTTGAAAAGGACAAATGAAAAATGGCACTAGAAAATACATTGGTTTTATCTATATATCAAAGAAGCTATGGAAGTGGGTTATGAGAAGGTTTTCTTTTTTAAATATCTTTAACTCCATAGATCTAGGTGATACTATGCAATTTTCTATGAAATGATATCAAACCCATATCTAAATTCCAAACAGGGCCAGTGAAAAGGTTAGGCTCCACAAAAAAAAAGTTTTCTTGGTTTACAGCCCATATGACTCCATGGCTAATGGTCCTGCAGGCCAAAGTCAGCAAAATCTATAGGAAGTCAATATCTTCATCCTTTAACATCTCATATGGAGGCCATTAGCCAGCATCCCTACATTAACCTATTGGCATGGAGAAATCTCTCAACTTGAAAACCAGCAACCAGAATAATCACTTCATTGAGAATCCAAAATGATGCCAGTTTTCAATCCTGCTAATGGAGAGATTTACTCAAAATCTAAAAAGTACAAAACTAATACCATCACACAATGCAAACTTCTCTACTTTTACAAGATTCACAGCTAGCTGCCTGGATCCAACTAAGATACTATATCTCCTATAAGCAGTCCATCTATTCACTCTCAAATGGCCAATCTGCTCTACTACCTTACCTAAGATGAACAATAAAATAAATACAGAAATTCAAAACCAATACACAGTTTCCAGATTGAATTCATACCACCCACCTATAGTGGAGAATGGAGGAACCACACATTTACAGAGGTTCCACTTCATCATGTGATAGATGTAACCACCCATGTGTACGATGTCACTACCTGCAATCAATGCTAGTGCACCGATAGGGGTTTACGAATTCAATCTGGAAATGGTGCATATCAAAATGAACTTTAATGACTCCAAGACACTAAAAATCTATCAGATACAAAAGAGACAAATCTACATACTTCTCCTGAAAAAATTATACAAAATTTCAGAGAATCATGTGTAGTGGAGCTGGCCATCTATGGTTCATGACAAACGGAGCTTCCCAGGACATACCCACTATCCAACTATGGTAATAACAAACCAGGAGTGCTCAACAAATATGTGGGATGATCTATCAACTTGACAGCCTGTAGGTCTGGCAGTCTGCAGGTAAAATAATTTAAATGTGATCACTAAAAGTCTCCCTTTAAACAGAGATGCCTCCTAGATATTCCAATGAGGAGAATTTGACATAAAATTTATTGAGTGGAAAACTGAGACCTAATGTAGGCGTGCAGTCAGGTGAAATGAAGCACGTGGTCTAAGTCTGGACCATAACCCATAAGTTGAGCACCCCAGAGGCCTAGATCAAACTCCTGCTGTATAGCATGCTGATGCTGGACATAGCATAAAGCAGCAACTGCTAATAGATAATAATAATAAAAATCTGCCTGCTGCTTCTGGCAGGTATAGAGCTACATCTCATATATTATATGTTCTTCTGTAATCTCAAAAATGATAATGACTTTTACTTAATCATCATGCTTTACAGCACAAACTGCTCCTTTGGCAATAAAGCAATTACTTTCCAGCATTACAGGATTTCAATCCAGCATGCTGCACATGCTGGATAGGTTTTTGCAGTACACCATGCAGTTAGAGTCCAGCATGCTGCACAGCACAAGTATGAACTAGGCTTGACCTAAACCTATCTAGAATGCACACCAAGAAACACTCACATGCATATCTTCTGGTCAATTGGTGAGGAATATTACCAATCCAGAGGCCTGAGGTGAAGATGTCTTTGCTAGTGTAACAGCACAAAATTACAACACATAAAGTATTGGAACACTTTGCATAGATTTCCAAAGAGCAATTGCTATAAGGTTCCTGGAATCTTCTCCTGCTTTGCCATCCCAGTATTCTTGAATAGGAAAAGCGTATCACTCATCACATTCATTTCTGCAGCTTAGACACTTCATGTCTCTGTCCTCTGGAGCTGCCCCATGTGAATTCTCCAAGCAAACTAACAGGAATAATGCAGAAGGAAATTTTGTCATTTGAATGTTGCTGCTCATTCTCTAAACCTTTGTTACCCCAGATAACCTAAGATACCATAGCATAGCTCTAAAGGTTTTTGCCTTATGCCTGCCTAGTGTCCCACAGGTTTCATATGGGCTATGGGAAGAACTGGGCAATCTGCCCAGACCAAGAAAAGGCTGCACTGATTCAAGACATGCCACATGTCTGACTTCATGTTCCATATCATTGAAGCAACTGGGGTTAAGGTTTGAAATAAGTGACCAAGGAATTGTCCAGATCTTAACCCCATTGAACACTAGCAGCAGAGGTTTCCATAGTGTTCCACATTAGCTCCACTCCAGAAATCATTAATACCAGGGTCCAGGAGAAGTGGGAAACCATCATAAGTGACATCCTTCAACTGGCTGAGAGCTTTTGAATGCAAGTCTGATGTTCCAGGGGCCGGTGGAAGTCATGCAATGTATTGATGCAGGAGTTGATTCCTGGAGTTTTTCTGGCCATGTGGAATGCAAATAAATCAATACTATCTCATTAGTCCCATCTCAATCTTTATTTTAGCAGGTAATAAACTTTTGGAACACCTTTTATGAGGCCCATGTTACAGGTGGTACAAATTTATTCCCAAAACACTATATGACTCACTTCCCTATTGAGTTAGGATCCAAAGTTTGACAATTGAAGATTTCATCACTAGAATGGAAACTTAATATAGAGGCTGTGTGGAAAAGAAAAATGATTTGAAAACTTGATACACAACTATTTATCATTTACAGCTAGACAACTAGCAACAACCTGCATCCAAAAGGGTTCAAAACCCCTGACTTAAATTATAGACAAGATGTGGCTCAACCTGTGGAAGGTATCAACAACTTGGGACAGCCAAGCCTACCCTTACCTGACAGGCCTAACAAAGAGCTGGGTAATGGAAAAGGTACACAGTTTAGGCATAGGCATGTGGCACTTGGTCAATGATTCATGAGATATATCATAGCAAAATGACATAAAATAACAATACCGTCAGGTAAGGTTATCAGTTTCCTGATTTGGTTGGGGCTGTCCCATATTTTCTACCTTTCTCCCATGTCCTTGTTATAGTAGCATATGGATAATAGTAAGAATTTCTTCCTATACTATATTGTAGAATTTCTTCCTATACTTCCTAAGTGTCAAGATTTTGGTCAAATTGGGAAAGTACATGGCAATTAACACAGATTCAATGGGATCCATGCCGATTTTTCAAACCCCCAGTTAGGTTAGTGCTGCTGTTATAAGTACACTTCCATAACTCCCTTTGAGGACATCAGAACCAGTTCTTCAGCTCAAAAATTCCAGATTTTGAGTGATGAAGTCAGGCAGCTCGAGGGAGAGGCCAATTGACCCAACATTTAGTTCAACTTGATACCAAACACAGAAAAAATAAAATCCCAAGGACATTCAGTCCACCCAGGAAGTTTGCTATTATCACCCAACCCCATACAATTTAATGACCAAATAAATGCCTGTCTGGATCATGAAAAAATGTTAACATTACCTAGGCCACATTGTAGGCTTAGTCCTAATACTGTATTTTCATAGGCTACGCAGTGAAAAATCAGGCATTGTTCTGAGTAAGGCTGGATAATATTCACGACCAAGGAAACCCCGGTCTCAGAAACATTCATTGATTTCAATGTGCTCTGCAAATATTTATGCAGGCAGGAGGGATAATAATACCCAATTTCTGGGATGGAGAACATGGATGGAGACACACTCCAAATGCATCACAGCATCGCATAGAGATCGCCATTGATGGTTCGCCGCCCTACCATCTAGCGACTATTCAGTGAACTATTCTTCCAAGCGGTTCTGCATGACACATTAATTGATTTGGATCTCCCCCATCGGATGGGCATCCCACAATGACAAATTCCAATTTCGGGAACTCATTGACGCATCTGGAAACGATTCAGCTTGAGTGATTCCTCTGAGCATCCAGGAATAGTTCCCTTCGATTCTTGAGCGCTGAGTGGCGTCGGAGGACAGTTAATATTGACATCTGAGAAAATCGGAGGTGTTTGGCGAAATCCGTATTCCTGAGATCACGTCTTACCTCTTTCGAAGAGTGACAGCATACGAATCCATCTCATACTCTCGTTCTTCACAAATTTTCCGCAATGCGCGTGCTCTATGCTATTACTTCACATTCTTCCGCATTCTGTTGAAGAGCGTGGCATGATACTATATAAAAGTCAGAATTCTGACTTTTCTCAGAGGTTTCTCATTTTCCTGTTCCCTATCTCAAGTGAAAATTTCCAGTCAAAACCAAGACTCCTTCGAATACACTTCAAGGACAGTCGCAATATCAGAATCTAACCTCAGGAATGTCCCATAAACAGTAATAACAGTAATAATAAGAGATCCACAAGAGGCTCTCATTTTTGCGTCTAAAAAATAAATAATTTAAAATTAGGAATTAAAACGGTCATATGCACTGATATTAAAAAGTGGCGTAGCCAGGGTTTCGCCGGCTAAGTGGAACGGTGGGGGGCTTACTTCTCCTCGCCCAGTGAGGGGGGGAGGGGGGGGTTTGGGGAAGCTTGAACCAAACCTCATTATGCCACTGATATTAACTAATGCCATTCTAAATTTATTTTGTTGCTTGTGTGTGTTCCTTCCAATGGACTTGAGTATAATAGAGTTAGAAGCATGTTACTGAAGGCCTGGGCATATGAACAGAAGTAATCATAACATAGGTATATTTTATACAAGATCACATAGATGACACATCCTGTCATTTTTTTTGGAATCAGTGAATACTTGGTTGAAATTGAAGCTAAGGAACTTCTACACCCAGACTTTTCACTCATGGATTCCAAAGCAAAACAAGAACCTTTGAGACAATCACATTCATTGCATCTGAAGTACAAATAATGAAGGAAGGGCACTTTGCCACAAGTCCTATGTCTGGGGAGAGGTGGGTTCGTTCCGACAGATGACCGAGACTCGTCTTGCCCTCGGAACTGGCTCTCCTCCGAACGCTGATTTCTCGTGTTTCAATATCTCATGTGTGAACTCGTATCTGGCTGGACCACTGGAAGAAGTAAGAACATGTGAAATCGATGGCATAAAGATTTCAATATTCTTTGGACAGACAGCTTACGTCATGATGTAGAGGGATCTCCTGGGGAGAAATACATCAACCGATTCGGACTCGTTCTTTTCACGAACTAGGCGCATCACGCTGGATGACAATAGGCTCAGCCCTGCTATTGTATCTCCGCAAAACTGTGTAAAAACATACCATTCAAGAGGAAAAGAGACATCATTGGAAGCATAAGGGATGTTGGTAACTCACCCGAATGCTGTCCACGTGAGGCTTGATATATCCCTCAGGTGCAAGGTCAAGAATGTGGGTATACTGAAGAGGGGATACAGAAGGTGGAAAAGCCAATTTCTTCACCTTTTCCAAGATCTTAACATTCTCAGATTTCCACTGTTTTCGCTCAGTCTCTCTGAAGCCATGAATCGCCTACTAACGTGAGATCCCAGAAAGAATACCCAGCAATTAAGGCACAGTGTTATAATCTCAAACAATGCATCTCCCATTCTACCATACATACATCATCCCAGTGATCAAATTCGTATCGCAGTCTCTTCATGTAAGGCTCAATCTCAGACATGAGGGAGCTCTCTTCTTCTTCACTGAGGAAATGGGGGAAGATTCTCATGTAGTTGAGGAAATCTTTGATGGAGAAAGCTTTGCAGATGGCCTCAGAGAATTTCAAATGCTGTTCAGGTGGAAGATCCCTTAATTCAAGGGGTAGAGAAGCACTATGATTCAGCCTTTGAATATGTCCAGAGATAAAAGGACACCGAACATGAGAGAACCTAAGTCTCTGGCAAGTTTTTGTAAGTGTCAGAGGAGACCTCATGTCCTCTTTCTTCCTGCCAAAGGAAATAATGAAAATGGCATATTCAAGAGATTCTTATTTCTCTGACATACACAAATATATGACTGACCCATGATGAATGCATCATCAAGCTTACTGGAAGCATGGCCAAAGCACTAAAAGTGCATTTGCAGCAGCACAAGGGCCAGTTGATGATTAATTTATGAATTATGAATTTCATCCTAAGAGAGTAAAAAAATGTCACTGGAGGTGAGCATGATTTACACCAAACCATGGGAAAGACTATATCAACACTCTCAATAACCAGAAGATTGCATCTATCAAGATGCTGGGTTCTCCAATTCTTCATAAACGAGAATGTCCTTGAGATTTAACTCCAGTTAAATTATTATTTTCATTTGCACTATATTCAGAAAAATTGTTTTCTCGACATTCATCCCTTTAAATGGCCCTCCAAGACTTACTGCATATATCTCTGTTTCACAGGAATGCTCATAGAATTTGAAATGAAGTGCCCAATTTTTCTATATGCTCCCAATATTCCAAAAATAGATTATAACATTTTCAATTGCATCCAGTAGAGACTCTTCTCAATCTTTGAGGCAAATACAATTATGCCACTTGTTGATTTACAAAAATTTGACCTTCACAGGCACAATATCAGCAGGATTGTGTTGATAATCCTGTGTATTCCCTGCATATATATAACACTTACACATCAGGGAACATAACCAGGGTAAAAATGGTTAGTTTGTACTTGAAGAATATATAAAAATCACAGGCAATGTTCAGGAAAACCGATCCATGGTTGACTTCATCTTCTGGAACTCTGCAAAGAGCTTGTAGAACTCTGGCACAGTGAGCTCAAGATGGACATATTTCCTGGATTCCTCAGAGTCTTCTTTTCCCAGTACCAGTTTCAAATGAACCAATGGTCGGTTCCCCACACGACCTACGCTGCTTCCTGTTGTCACTAGGGGAATGAAGAACGACAGAAAATCAAACTCATCTTGAATCACAGTCTGGTCTCAAGTGAAACATACAGACTTACCAAGAAATTGCCAGTCCACACCTAGCAGCTCAGGGATACTTTCCATGATAGAAACTAAAAAAAACTTTAAAAAAATACAAAAAATAACCTCTAGACCATAATGACAACATTGCTGTCAGCCAACCAAATCCTGCAGTTGCTTTAGCATATTTGCAAACAATGCCCATACAACTATTTTCCAAAAACAAGTTGTATGATCCACTTAGGTTACATAAGTTTTCTCACGGTAAAGCTTATTAGGGATTTCAAACCCAGGAAATGGAATTTACCCATTCCAGCCCTTCACAGAATAACAGCCCAACCAGAAAAATTAAAACTGCAAATGCTTGCTTTGAATCAAATATGGTAAAATTAATAATACCAAATTATCTCATGTATCTCATGCAAACCAGCACAAAATGAGTTTGATCAATATGCAGTTCAATTTGAACTTGCATGCTAGCAAAGGAGAGGCCTCCTATCAGAGTTGAAAGCTTGCTTAATGCCTTTTGAGGCTTTTACAGGTAGAAAAATATGATAGAAAGTTTTATTTATTTTTTTAGTTTTGACCAAGTTCCAAAATATATGCTCACATCATCTCTCCTAATGCTGATATGAACAATAAGGGTCCAATATAAAAAATTAAAGATTTTCTCCTCTTAACAACCAATATCAGTCAGATTCAAATGCTCATATACTGCATGGACCTGAGGTAAAACTCAGCAAACCAGCCACCTGTGTGATTAAGTAGTCACACACAGTAGCTTTTACCCATAACATTTTGGCACATATAGGAATAAACAAAAACAAAACACATATAACTAGCTCAGAAATGAATGTCTGCATTTCCATGAGACTTGTGCATGCCTGCCCATGCAGGTCAACTGCTCATTCACTCCTGTTTCAGCATACTAGCAATTGATAGAATGTCTTTCTCTCATTTAGGACTGGCATTAGCTCATTTTGAACAGACATGGCATGCTACACTGTTTTTCACTTGAGTCAGACATTTTCCTCATTTGACACACATGCCGGGGTACTTCCTGTACTGGGTGCCCAGGTCAAGTAAAAGAAAATATTTCACTCCAGTGAAAAGTGCAGCATAAAAGTTCAAAATGTGGTAAACCCAACTGACCACCAAAACCAAAAATTAGAGCAATATGGTATGAAAACTATGTATCATGTCAAGGTATGTATCAAAAGATGTAAATACCAAAGAAATTTGAATGATTGTTTCACACATCATGAAGATGGGCTTCCCTGTAGCAGCCACGAGTAGAGCTCTGGAATGGCCTCGTACATGAAGTACATAAAGTGCACCTACTACGTGGCATATTAGGATAGAGTGGCGACAACCTTCCTGGCAGCCTCGTCCAGATCATTAGCAATAATGATGTTTTCCCCTGACTCTTCCAAAATCCTCTTAGCCTCCTTCACATTGTTCCCTATGGAGTGAAGCAGATGATATAGAAAAAGAGGAAAGTGCATGAAACTTGCATACAGATATCACCCATACCTTCAAGTCTGACAACCAAAGGAATAGTCATCTGAATGCTCTTGAGGGCATTCATGATCCCCCGTGCAATAACTGCACAGTTCACGATCCCACCAAACACATTGACAAGAATAGCCTTCACGTTCCAATCTGTCATATCATGTAACAAATAGGTCATATTATGAAGTCATGAATTATGGCATTGTGATCAAAGATTGGACAGGTATTGTGCCACAACCTACCAGACGTGATAAGCTTGAAGGCATGATAGACTTGGTTCTCCTGCACTCCTCCACCTACATCCAAGAAATTGGCAGGTTCTCCTCCATGTAGTTTGATTAAGTCCATTGTGGCCATAGCAAGACCAGCACCATTGACTGCAGAGGCAAAGAATGAATGCAATAAATTTAGAATGTTAAGATTACAATGAGGTAAGGCTAATGAAGGCTGTAATTAGTACCCAGGCAGCCTATGTTTCCTGTCATGCCAATGTAGTTTAACTTGTGCTTCTCAGCTTCCACCTCCCTTGGATCGGATTCAGAAAAGTCTTGAGAGGCAAAGATATGCTGTTGTCGAAAGGCTGCATTGTCATCAAACTGGATCTTCCCATCTACTGAAATCACTTGCCCATCTGCTGTTTCCACCAAGGGATTGATCTCCAGTTGGGTTGCATCCACTTTCTTGAACATGTCCCAAAACTGCTGCACCTGTTTGGCTGTCTGCAAACAAATACCCAACTGTAAAGCAAGTTGAGATGAAAGGCTTCATATTCCTCATTAGCACCATCGTTACCTCTTCTCTTAGAGACCCTTTGAATTCCAGAAAGTCTGCAACATCCAGGGCCATCTTGTCTGATATGCCATCAAATATATCAAATTTAAAGTGTTTGATTCGATCAGGTGTCTTCAAAGCAACTTCCTCTATGTCGACTCCTCCATCAGGTGAAGCAACGATGACAGGTCCATCACTGTCTCTGTTTGTTACATCCTTTTCAGATCAGCTGTACACTCCAAAGAACAACAGAAAAGAGAAAGGAGAAACTGACCGATCTAGTAGAACACAGAGATATGTCTCTCGAACGATGTCCACAGATTCTGCAACCATGACTTTTCTGACCAAAAGTCCAGACCTGGGAGTCTGCTTGGTGATGAGCCGGTGCCCAACCATTTGCTCAACATACTGTATCATTTCATTCTCTCTGGAACAGAGTAGAAAACCAAACAATGCAACATTCTATACATAAAAGAATGACCAGAATAAAAACACAATAAACTTTTTGGTCAGATGCACGCCTCCTTTGAAGCCATTGTCAAAGGTACCCAGGCCTCGTCCTCCAGCCAGAATCTGGGCTTTTATCACATATTCAGATGGCTCTGAAATACACAAAACGTTCAAAAGAAAAAACTTGCTTCAGGTTGAGTTCGGATTATGTCTCAGCAAAGAAAAAATGCTTACTGAATGAGCGGGCAACTTCTTCAGCCTGTGCCACATTCTCAACTAATCTGAACTTTTGGATCTTTATTCCATGCTCCTCCAAGAGGCTTTTACTCTGATACTCAAGAAGATTCAGATTCCTCGTTTGGATCCAAGATGGGAGCTAGAGTAGAATAAAAACCATCTATGGTTCAGTTTAAAATCTTTCAAATGGCTGATATGTTTAGGGAAAACCACCTCACCCAAAACTTATCACAAGGTATCACACGATGAAATGTGGGAATACTTCTCCTCAAAATGTGAGTCATGTCCTTCCAGGGTTTAACCAGAGAATGTAGACCATGAAAAGGCACCTTTATGGAGAGCACCTAGATGCATTGGAATTGAAATTAAGCAATGATAAACACTGAGATGTGATAGTTGTGGTAAATACAGTCTTAACCCTTTCAAGCCAAAATTACTTTTTTGACATGGGATATCATTAAGTTTGTGAATTCAAAAAAGCTTAGGAAACACATCTGGAGCTTAAAAGCAGAAATGGAATGAAAAATATAATTAAACCAATATTTTAATTTCATTATTTCTGCTATGAATCAAATCCTTATTTTCCTTGAAATTTCATTACTACTTTCCACAGTCCAAGTTCCAAAAACCAAGAAAATATGGCAGGGAAAAGAATTTACTAAGAAATTACTCACTCTTCATGGCAAAAACTTCTCATAAAGTTCTCCCTTTCATTGCTTCTAAATGAGTGCAGAGATAAAATTGACACATGGCAAACAAATAATCAAATAGCTCGCATGCAATAGTAAAGTTGACAGCCAACATTAAAGAAGGGTAGGAATGCAAGGGTAGGAATATTCTTGAAATCATTGGTGTCAAATGAAACTTTAGCAGATGAAATAGTTAATTAGTATGATTTTAAGTAGTACAGCCCTTAAATGGAAAGAGACCATTCACTTTGGTATATATTCCAATGCAGGGCACAAAAGACTTAAATTATGTATCAGCAAAAACCAATCCTGGCTGATCCATCCAGGTCCTGCTGAATGGGGAGATAGAAAGCAACAACAATCAGCAATAAATGGAGATTATTTATTGCACCTGAGTAACACTTTGGATAACCTGAGATCAATGCTTCCTCAAAGACTAGTGTGAAAACTATATTTTCTGTGACTTTTCCATTTTCTATCACAGTGTAAGTAACAACAAATGAGTGACCACTCATCCACATGGAGCACCTTAAAAAATTCAAATGTAAGAGAAATAAAAGAAAAAAGCCATTCAGTTCCACTATGAATAGTATCAAATCACATAGTATTGCACTGGTATACAAATCTAGTAGGAACAATCTTTCTAGAAACTACAAGTCTTCAGTTATGACAGACTGCCATGATATGTTCACAAAATTTTGGTGAGAGGTGGATGAAATCCTCTAGAGTTGTTCCTAAAGATTTCATATTCTTGACTTATCCCATGCCTGACAAAAAACTCCAGAGATGGAACTGCAAGCAGGCTGTATCTTTTCAAGGTCTCTGTCCAGATTGTCTCAGTAGTGACCTCTTCAAAATCATGCTTCACACTATTGAAGAATGTTGAACCCCAAAACTGAGATGCCAAGTCATTCTTATATTCATACAATGCTTCAGGGGCTTCAGCTGTCATTTCCTCAAGGACAGCAATGCTGCTGCAGTCAGTATAAAATGGGGGAGCAAAGACATCCAGGGGAATGTTATCTCCCATATAGACACACTTGGGGTCCTCTTTTCCTGAGAACACGGAGAGAAACTTCTTCAGGTCACCCCAGTTTCCAACTGAGTATGACTTTCCTGCCTCCAGTTCCTGATGATTGATATACTGGCAAGTACCATTAATGTGATCATGGAAAGGCTGAGTCTTGGAAAAAAACTTTGGTTTCTGGGCATCACAAATAATGATATCAAAGTAGTCCCTCCAGTTCTTTCCAAGTATGAATTCTGCAGCATTGTTTATAAAGCCTTCATGAGAGTCAGTAATGAGAAAGGTGGTCTTCTTGGCTTTTCGTAAAGCTACAATCCAGTCTTTGATTTCCTCTGTGCAAGGTATCAAAAAATCATCTGGGTTCTCAGCAATGGCTTGAAAGAAGACACCATCATCTAGTGTAGTATCCCCAACTTTGTAGATTGAGAGCATCGCATCATACATGTCTTTCCAAATATTATATCCTTCCTCTGGTTTTGGTTTTTTGTCAGTGGTGTCAATCCAGTCTATGATCCTGGCTGCTACCAAGGCTGAAGGAAGAACGAAGTAATCTGTGAAAGCAAAGACTGTATGGTGTTTATCTTCAAACTCCTTCACAAAATCTTCCAGGACAATCCATTTGGATGAGTCACCATATGTATTTTGAAGTTCATCATTAGTCATCAAATTAAAGCCATGAGTAGCTCTGAGAATTTGTCCTTTTGTCCCTACTTTGAAGAAGTTCCCCCTCTTGTAATCAATTATCATTCCTCGTTGCATGAAATCTCTGATGGATTCATAAGCAACTTTTGTCTCTTTGGCATATCCACGTTGACTGATGAGAAATTTGAATAGCTCATCATACAAGAACTTGGCAAGAGGGCCAACCTTGTAAGAGCAGAGTGTGCAGTCAAAATCAAATCCCACACAATCAAAGTTTTGAAAAGAGAACTTTGCCATAGGGCGAAGGAGTTTGCTATGGTATACATAGGCCATAGGTACTGGCCATGGTGTCCACTGGAGATAAAACTTGCAGCATTAGGTCAGATCTTGAAGATGAGAAAGAACAATCCTCAACAAAAGGTCTGAGATTCCAGATTGTGCGGGAGAAGGGAGGAATCTGAAAATGTTTAAAGGACATGAGCAATTAAGAGATAACCAATGCTAACACTAACCTAATTAGATCGATTTCACTAAGACATGCTTATCCTGTGGTTTATATTAGGATCCCTTCCTTTTCTTATTTTTCAGAAATGACATAGTCTGCAGAAACAACTTCATTTGTAATATAATGACACTATTCCAATAAAACTTCCTTTTATGTTACTATCCCAGTAGGAAACAGTTATGCACCCAAATTTAGAGCATATGAACATTGAAAAGAGTAAAGTCAAATTGCTCAACATTAAATTTGGAGAAATTCTTAATCTTCTCAATTTAAACATTTAATAGCCATGTTCTTCATTTCTCTTCCAGAACCCAATATTTTGTGGATTAATCAATTTGATTAAAATGCTATGAAAATATAATGAAAGGGCACTTTCTTTTGAAAAACACAATAAATTTTTGACATCTCATGGCCTTACATTGCTTTAACTTTCCTTTGTTCAAAATCTCTCTGAATATACTGTACGCTACATTGAGGGGTTTAAAGAAAAGAAAGGAGGCATGGAATACATATTACGCAGGAAAAAAAGACCATATGAATATTCTGCCTTGTCCTAGTCCTAGTCCTATGACACCCTGTGGGAAGGTATTGTGCAGCAGGAATAAAGCATCTGAAAAGCCCTCTTCCTGTGAACCGTATATGGTACAATTTAAGAGTAAATTGATACTAAGCTCTATCCCCTTTGAGGGAATTTTAATATTGACAGAAAAGTCTCTTCAGAGGGCAAGCATACCTTATCTGCATAGGAGACCAGTTTCCTGGATTCCCAGGTTCCTACCCCTTCTACAATGCTCCCAATCCCTCTTTGTCTAGTCTCATTCTATTTACTCCCACTAGTGCCCTTTGCAAATGCTCAATATTATTCTGTAACTTGACAAATTCCCCAATGTGTCCACTCCTACTATTAAAAAAACTGTTAAAGGACTGCAACCTTCATTCTTTAAGCCATGTTATGTAACAGATAAATGATAGACTCACTGAGGAAAGGATAAAGAATAATTTGCATCATGCATTAAAGACATTGACCTGCCTCTCCCTATTTTATAATGAATGAAGCCTGCCAGCTTTCTTCCAAACTCTTGGGATCTTTGCCACTGTGAAGCCCTCAGAATAGCAGCATCCAACATATGGGATACAAGCATGGTGCCAACTTCTAAAAATTATTGGGGGGGGGGGGGCAAGTTCCTAATGCCCCTGAAATAACATTGACAGAATTATTGCAGGATTCATTGGGGTAGTTCAGTATTATTATTGTGGTATAGTGACAAGTGGAGGGGGGGAGGGGGGCTGGGCGTGGCCCTTCCACCCCATACCTTTACGGGATGACAGGGATTTCCCCCAGCACATAACAGAAAGGAAAATAACTTTTTCAATTCTTTCGTGATGCAGCATTTTGTTTTCAATTTTCCATGTGCTATACTTTTGCTGAAATTCTGACCTTCTTGGGAAGTCATAGCCCCATCAATAATATAGTTAGGGGGGCACGTACCCCTTTACACCCCTGGGTTCGGCGCCTATGGATTCTAAAAGTACCATCGCTTCCCAGAGTGAAAGGAAGCATAGGCCTAACAACAGAACTGTGGGTGGGACCTAAATAAAGCCTACTATGCAATTTACCAGCGTTCATAGTTATATTTAATTCAGCATTTGCGTCGTTGCGTATCATAATTACTTCGGCATGTCTTCTCGCGCATGCCCTCCGAACGGAGGCAGCCATACTTACCTTCCCTTGCATGATTACTACTGTGGATTGTGCATTTTACTAAACTTGTTCTCTTCATCCGTTGGCTTTTCACGCGTTAACTATTCTTCCATGTGACCAGTGTAGGAAGAAAATAGCACTTATGCACGGATAAATGCTTCTGAATCTTAAGTATGATTTGCCAAATTCACAACTGCAATGTAGGCTTCATCGGGCAACCTTGTGGAAAATGTCCGCTTACATGAAGGCGATAACCACGTGCAGTCAATGCATTCCACCGCTTCGGCTGCGTCTGCATCTTTGATGCCAAGAAGTATCGTTCGAGGACATGAGAATCTCCAAGAATCTCTGTTTGATCTCGGAGACAGTTGATTTCGTGCTTGTGAATGTCCCTTCCTGCCAAACTGACACTTGGAGCATCAGTGGTCGTTGCTTCGTCGGTCATCGGATATGTTCACTTCAAACAGTACTTAGATCGGTGAGACCTCATTCATATGAATTTCCAAAGGAAGGAATGGATGGATAAGTCATTTTGGGTCTCATTTCATTTTTATTTCAGAAAGAGACTTCACGATGGTGTAATTCGTGATGTGGAGAGGCAGCAACGCAGGAAAATAGAGAATCTGTATGTGCTTCAAGAGCAAATCGATTTAACGAAGCATTTGAAAAAGCAAATGAAGGAAGAGTAAACTGAATATGGCAGCCATGAAAACTAAAGGAGATGTGCATCTTTCTTTGTTTTCTCATGTGAGAATTGAGCATCTCATTGCAGGAATGAGTGGTGGTGCAATTTCTACAATAATTCTCCATCCGCTGGACCTCATCAAGATTCGCTTTGCTGTCGATGAAGGCAAGAGCTCACTTGCATCGGTGCTGAGACCTAAATATAATGGTTTCCTGCATGCTATCTCTAGCATTTACCAAGCCGAAGGAATATCTGGCTTTTACAAGGGAGTGACACCAAATGTAGTTGGTTCAACTTGTGCTTGGGGACTTTATTTCATGTTCTACAATGGAATGAAGACATGGATGCAAGAAGGTGATACAAGGAAGGATCTTGGTCCAGGGATCCAAATTTTACTGGCAGCTCAGTCTGGTGTTGTCACACTTGCACTCACCAATCCTATTTGGGTCGCCAAGACAAGGCTGGTGCTACAATACGAACGCAAAATGGCCATGTCTGACCCTCTCAAGAATTATTCAGGGTTCTTGGATTGCCTGGCAAAGATCTATCGGTCTGAAGGCATTCGCGGGTATTACAAGGGCTTCGTGCCTGGGATTTTTGGTGTGTCTCATGGTGCATTACAGTTCATGGCATATGAAAGGTTAAAGGCATGGTATAGTACCTATTATGATCATCATTTGGATACTAAACTGGGCACATTGGAGTACCTCTCATTTGGTGCATTATCCAAGCTGTTTGCTTCTTCCATAACCTATCCATATCAAGTTGTGAGGGCACGGCTGCAGGACCAGCACAGGCAGTATGGTGGTGTTGTAGAAGTAGCAAAGTTGACTTGGCAATATGAAGGATTGAGAGGATTCTATAAGGGACTCTTGCCCAACTTGTTGCGAGTGACACCTGCAACAGCCATTACTTTTGTTGTTTATGAAAAAGTTTCTCATTTTTTAATGAGCAAAGCTTGACGATGAACTGCACTTAGTCACGATGTAGCTTCTCTCCTGTAGGAAATGCCTATTGATGTCAGTGTTTGTTGGCCCTGTCAGTCAAATGACAGATGTAGTTTTAATTCATAATAATATATCAGGATGACCATAAATTCCAATCATTAGTTTATTTGGTTAAATACTATCATGGAATTTATGTTTAGAAAAATTTTGCTGTTACTTTCCTGCACAAAAAGCATGATTTTAAACATGGTTCTACATGCAAAAAACATGTTACTTGGAACACTTTATCCAGGGAAACAGAAAAAATGCAATAGATGATCTTAAAGAATAATTTTTCAGTGATTGTCTTCAATCTCATCTCATCTGACACATACCATACTTATGACTCTAAGGGTGATCATCCAGCCATACAGGAGGTCATTCTGCAAAAAGAAAGGCATGAAACATTCAGAAAACTCAATGAGTACATGTCATGTTGCTCCTGAAAGCTCTCTATGAATCTGGCAAAGACACTATGAATGACGAATCTGAATTTGACTGGACTTTACAGTCAAACTCTGTGCCACAGGAACTGTGTCTATGGGTTGAAGAGGAATAAATACAAATGGAATCATGAAAACCATAGAAGCTTTATTCCAAGAGACCAAAAACGACTAGCAACAATTACTTGAAGCCTCCATAATGGCATGGTCTACTTTTCTTTTTGGCACAACTATAAAAACTGGTAAATTTTGCATATGCATTCCAATACTTGTTTCTCTAAAACCAATATTGCACAATCATATAATGTGGTAAAGAACAGCAAGACTAATCTGGAATGAATACTGGACCCCTTCCTAGTTGTTAGCACCACATCCACAGCAAGTGCAAGACTTCCAAATTATACACCTTTCATTGGAAATGTGCCATCTTTTGCCCTCCAGAACTACACAACACCTGGTGACTTAATTGACATGGTGCATTGTTAAAAAAAAAAAATGTAGGAAGCATTAAATCATCAGCACCTTCAATGCCAGAATAATCAGGGCATACATCTTACTCAAGAAAGAAAAGTCAGCCAAAAAATGTATTTGTTCCTCACACAAGGTGATGAGTCCAGTGATATGAAGAAAATGATCTTTTTTGCTTGAAGGAGGATAGGCAAGTTTTGTCACTTGACACCATTTTGGAGTCCATGTCTCTTGTTTCCTCTCAAAATTTTTTTCTCAGCAAGTGTGCAGCCTTTGGGCAAACTGCTTATTGTGAAAAACTGCATGTCTATCCAATCTCAGCAAGGAATGTATACAGAATGCCATGGACAGCACTTTGATGCAAACCTACATTGATCCCATGGAGCAAGTTTTTTAAGCTTTTATTTTTGCAGTGCTAGAGCTACTTATTTTTTGACTGACTTATACCATCCAAAACTCTAAAGGATGAAAGCCTCAGATGGTCACAAAATACCTTGAACAAGTATCAACAAGACATATTGCACTTCACATATTAACAGTATGGAAAGAAATTCACAAGATTCTCTTTTCTCTACCTATACCTCTTTTCAAAGAAGTATAGAAAGTGCTTGCAGAATGATTGGCACAACTAGCAAAATAGTTCACACCCAGTTCAAACCTCCTCCTCCTCCTTGCAAATTGATTTGCACGCCCCCCAATCACACCAGGGCTCCTCATGTCCCAACATTTCGTTAACTCTGGAAATGTCAACTTAATAGTTCCGGCAAATTCATGGAAGGTGGAATGTCCTGACCTATGAATAATACCAAAACTGACTGTGCAAGAAAAACCCATCCTCTTATTGTGCAGGGTAAATACAAATAACTTATATGTCCTTCAATTCAATATTTTTTTTAGAATGTGAATTGGTGGTGTAGTAATTTTAGCATTGCAGTTTTTTTTTATATACTTATGCTCAAGTCTGCTTTACCAGAAAGATATCCATCTGATTAAACTTTAATTGGGTCTTTAATTTGGATTCCTTGTATTTTTTTACATTAAATTCTGCTGATTTATGATTTAAAAAACTATTGCTCTTCCATCTAAAATTTTCTTGTTTCTGCACTTGTAAGAACATTATTTTAAAATTTGATTTAAAATTTTACTACCTTCCCAAACAAGTATCCTATTTTAGTGTCTGCCATTTAATTGTGGTTTGTTTCCTGAGCAATTTTAGTAATTCTGAGATATGACACAAAATGTCAAGACTTGCTTCAAGTTGGGATTCTGGCCTGGCATGAATGAGATTTGAAAACAAGCCCCATTTGCAACTTCAAAATCAATTTAAAGTTTTGGGAAAATGTAATCTTACCAATATGTAGGACTTATATAGACTTTGATAGTGAAAATTGATAGTGTTAACTGCTCATTGCATCATTCTGAGCAGCCCTGGCTGATGATGCAGAGGGAGGGGCAGTAAGAAACAATTTGCAAAAAATACAAACCAATTTTAAAGAGGTACATGACATTTTGCAATTTATGCAACCATTCATGCAACATTTATGAAACTCACTATAAAAAAAACACTGCAAATACTCTTCTAGTTAGCTGGGCATCTATTGTATACCTGACAAAAAAGGAACATACTTACAGTGCTTATTGCATGGGTAGACTGGCCTCACAGCTCACATCGAAAATTCCATCTGAATGAAAGTCAAAAGTCGCACTCACTAAAAGGGTGAGTTAACATAACAAGATCGCAGACGTATCTAGCACCAACTTTTAACAGTTCTTTGTGACTGCAACATGAAGAAGGTTTGATTCACAGTAGCAGGAATGTGAAAGTAAAGGATGGGATGTGAAAAGAAAACATAACAGAGAGTAATCTTGCTTAAGTAGGCATAATATCGCTCTCTCAGACTTTTGCACAGTCACATAACAACAATTGTGGTATCAACTTATGGAAGTAAGAAACTTGAAGCAGTGGGTTCAACTGCACAATGAACCTGATGTATAACATTGAGAATACTAAGGGATTGAACAATGAAAATAACCTAGATAAATATCATATCTAATGTACACCTGCTAGCACAAGAAATATGATACATCAGGAGGTATAAGAAAGACCTCTCTATCTTCATTGGCCCAAAGTAACTGCTTTGCACACTCTCATCAAATTACTCTGTCTGGGAACTACGTTTGCATGACTGGAAGAAATGAAAGCTATTGTAACTAATATGCTAAACACAGGTAAGAATGACTGCACAAGCAAAATGACCGTTTTGCAAACGATTGTCGCAACGAACAAGAATGAATGGCATCACAACAACTGAGGAATGAAAGACATGGGCAAAGCAGTGGTAGCAGGGCAGTACAGATCAATGAGGAGGGAAAAGAACTGCAGGTTCCACTATTCAGGAGTTGAAGGTGGAGGATGCAGAGCATCACAGATGCGATGAGCATGAAAGCGAATGTCTTCACTTTTTGACTCACGACTGAGGAAAAAGGCAGCCGAATGCAAACCTTCCTTATGGGTCACAGAGCACAACTTTGAGTACCTATATGGGAACAGAAGATACAATCTGCATATTTTTGAGTGTTACTGCCAGAAAAAGTATGGGACTGTATAGGTACATACATTGTGTCAGGAGAAGAAGCTTTGCAGTGGGGTGGAAGTTCAATGACTGGATCAAACTTTGTTCCTGTGGCTATAGAACAGAGATTTGCAAGTAAGGTCACAAAACGCAGCAGAAATTCCTCATCTTGATGGGAAGCATTGAGGACATCTAGAATGTTGCTGGGGCCCTAGGAAAAATATGTGAATAAGTGGCCTCTTGCATGATAATACTGAGTCAATGTGAGAGGTTAAAGTTATCTTTTCATGTTACCTCAGCTGCAAGGAGACAAGGGCCCATAGCTGGATTACATGCCAGGTTATTCAATAGTTTTGCTGTCTGGAGACGAATGGCTGGGTTCTTGTGGCTCAGGAGGGCATAGAATGTAGAGAACCCTGGTTGGAAGGTCTCATGCAGATCAGTTAGCACTGCCATATTGGATAGTGTCTGAAGGGCAGCCAGGGTCAAGTCTTCATCTTCCTCCTCAGGGAATAAATGGCTTAAGAGTCGGGGAATGGCTCCCTATGTACAAAAGACAGATGTATACCATCAGTTTCCTTTATTCAACAAATAGTAATTCTGGAGAAGCTGTTGATCAATTAGAATAACAACTTCCCCCTCTGAGATAGCTAAGGGGTCAACTGGAGGGTGACAATCATTTGCAACCAAGAAACATAGGTTGAGCCATCTTAGTTTTTGTAGTATTTATGTCATTAATTAGCAAGCAATTTACAACTAGAAACATGCTGACACAGGTATGGTCTATACCAATACAAATCCAGATCCAATTCATCAGTATCAGCTAATACACATGCCTGGATGTGTTCATGGAAAAAAATTAAAAGAGTGAGTAAATGAGGCTTACATATAGAAGGCCAAGCCTACATGTAGATAGGCCATAGAAGGACTATATGGAAAGACATAATTTGACCTCTGGTTCTCTCCTATAAATGTCAGAAAGAGAAGAGAGAGAAAATATTTTCCACCATAAGAGCATAAGGCCATATCGATTTTCATGAAGTTTTGTGTCTTGTGACATCAGTATGTTGACTCAGTTAAATCAACAGTAAACGTTTTTTAATCAAGTCCAAAGATGAAATTTCACATACCTGTAGCAGAAGTGTATATGCATAAATATATATAAAAGGTCTTTCTGGAAAAAGATATAAGGTACTCAGCATTACAATGAAACTCCTAAAAAGATAATACAGTTGCACTGTACCATTCAGTCCTTGTGTAATTCACATAATATAATCTTGAACTTACAGAGTATTGACAAATACCCTGGATTAAACATTTGTTATTCCATGCTTGCAGGGATGAGATCTGACCATGGTGTTAATTAACCTAGTATTGAGGCATTAACGCATCTGCAAAAGAAATGCCTTCACTGCTATTCACCCACTTACGACTTGAATTTCCAGCTTATTTTTTCATGGCGTACATTTGATCAATATGGAAATGAATTATGCAGTCATCTATTGAAAATTTCAAAGTACTTCTTCCCACTAAGGGTGGGCTCCATCCTACAATGGGTAAAATAAAATACCTATTCATATTCACAATGCAGTCCATGTCTAGGAGCCTAGCCTAGGAAATCACATGAAGAATGGGAGCTCACCGATTCGCTTCCGCCTGGCATGTCTCTTGAATGCAGTTTTGAAGACGGAATAACCTACGTAAGCGAAACCAGCAAAGACAGCAGAGCACAACGCCACTTTATTGACAGTAGCATCTGGGCCACTGCTAGCGGCCATGTCTGCTGCTAGAATTGAGGACAGGGTTGCAATAAGGCTAAACATAGGCTTTGTATCAGGGAGCCAAGTGGTCTCAGAGACTGCTTACATCTCTCGAATGTCAGGTTTGGTCGTAGCCAAGACTTCTCATCTGGAAGTGTCCTATGGTTTTTCCCTCGTTCATTATCAAAGAGAAGACGGGGGTGAGGGGTGGATGGTTTGGAAGATCAGATAATCTCTGCCTCCCCACTTTCTCATTATCGGTTCACTGTTTTCGATTCATTCCCTCGTCTGGTGCCTCGTAAGTGATAGGACGGATTTTTCGGATGCATAAAAATAATCGGAAGATCAGACACTCGTCGTTGAAGCGCGAATCATCCCAATCCCCTCGCAGCTTTTGGTCCGACGATGTCTTTCAAAAGGACAGTGTAGGCCCATGGCTAATCGGTCCATTTTCTCGCGAGTGAGTTTATGATTGACTAGGTGCGGAATTTATCCCACGTATTTCTCAGGTTGCAAATTGGATGGATTGCTTTTTTTTTTTACTAGACCTACTGCTAAGGTGACCAGATTTCTGTGTCGCGAAAGTGGGACGCCCAATAAATACTTCCCTTGCCCCATAAAAAAGAATATTAATGTATTTGTTGGACTGACAATTGTATTTCTTATTGCCAAAACATGAATTAGAACTGTTATTTAATTGTGCATCCGCAGTAGCGCAACCAGCCCTAAAGTTGAGAGTTGAGAGTCAAAACGACCCAAGTCCAATCCCTGAAAGTTGACTCCTCGCTGAGAGGAGGCTTCCCCTGACTCATTGATAAAGGTATCATATTGTTCACGCAATATAAAAGTAAACGATAGCAGGGGAGCCGGGCTCACCGTCTGCAGGGCACATGAGCAGGTGCTTGCTGGCAAACGCTAGCATGTAGCATGTTTTTAGGGTTTTTGTTGCTCGATAATCCGAATTCGCATTGCCAATTTATATCTACGCAGTTGCTATGGATAAAAATAAAAGACAGCAGGTATGCTATTCATAATCATGATATTCGCTAGGTTTAGCTCGATGTGATATTCTTTACAAGTTCTGAAACCCGCAAGGGAAGAAATTGGACCGCCATGTTCGCCATTTCCCGCGTCCCACCTACTTCATCGGGGGACACCGGGACATGTGGTCTGAAAGTGGGACTGTCCCGCCTCAACCGGGACGGCTGGTCACCTTACCTACTGCCTACCTTCCACCTACCTGAATGGTAATTGTGTTTCTACAAGCCACATTGAGTATTCAGATAGGCGAATTCGAAGGCAATTTGGAGGGATTATTAATCTGCGTATCTCAGTCTCGTGAAGAGGAAAAGGTTAATCGATCAATCTGGCAGGCAGTGAGCGACAAATCTTGTTCTGGAATGATAAATAACCAATCCTATTCCTTCCTAACATCAATGTCGTTTTCACGACCCGCGTACCAAATCAACCAAGTGGCTATTTTATTCCTCTCTTGCTAATAATGCTCCATTGCTTACCTTTGTATTGGTATACATAATTCAGTAATGTATTTGAGTAATGTAGTAATTAATTCATTTAATGACACGAGGGTTGCTAAATGTGTTCAGCTACTTATTCTGTCAGTAAGTAAGTATAAGTAAGTAAGTAAGGACTTACTTCAGTAAGTAAGTCCTGAAATTAGAATTACACATTTCATTAATCTCCATTAATACATTTCTGCCATCTTGAGAGTAAGATTCTGGAAGAGGGTTCTTGGAGCCGAATTGTAACAGCTTCTGTCAGAAGAGAAGTGAATTCCCAGTATGTCCCCTCAGTGGAGCGATAATAATCCACTCACTACGACTGCGTTAGGCCCGACGAACCCAACAGTTTAAGGAAGTCTCAAATCTCCACCCTAATTATCCATTACAGTACACTAAAATGGCTGAAAGATGTGCGGATGATTGAGCAAATTGTTGCAATTTGCAGGAGCTCTTATCGGGGTCATTGGTTTCAAAAAGGTTCCTACTGGGAAGTTAAATGAATTACTCATTGGTCTAAAAATAACTGTCGTGCCTGTTGCAGCTGACGATGAATTCGGTACCGACTACATTCTTCCGTATGACAACCTGATGTTGCATTTAGAAACATGAAGTCACGAGCGTCCGTCGGGTTTATTTATAAGACTGGGATTCATACAAGGTGAGAGCAATGAAACTTTTCAGGTCGGACACTGATGGTCTGTTGGCCTCGTAGGTACGGTTCGAGGGCAATAGAAGCAAACGAAGGAACGACGATTAACTTTTTGAAGCTTCCAAGTGGTCCTCGCGGCGAACCGCCTCAGCTGCGAAAACAAACAAAAAATCACAATTAGGAAACATGATATAATTAGACTACACAATGATGGAATATGCGTCACAAATATGATTTATACGAAGTCCCCAATAAGGTTTCATGGTAGAGTTTTCGGTGAAACTAGGGGAAAATAGTCCCGGTGACCAAAGTGCAAATCACGGCCTACCGAAGCCTTTTCCCCTATTCTCAACCGAACACACTTCAGATTTCGGGAATACTCAGCTCATGGATAGAAAGCGGCAAGGGAACACAGTGAGATCAGAGTAGGATACATTACGTTCAACTAAGAAATGATGATTTTCCAACTGATACAATAAAAAACTTGCAACTGCAAAAAGTTCCCGTCCGCGAAACGCGATAAGCTACAAATTCAAAATTCGTAACTAGGATTACGAACATTTTGGGACGACGTTTACGGTAAGGTTTCGACCAAGCTATGATGTATTACTTCTAAGAGTCACGGCAATCAAAGTCACATTCAACCGTTCAAAGGTTTCGAAAATGCTTTAACAGCGCTTAAAATGTTCCACTTGCTCAACGGGAGCAATGGATAAAGAGATCCGGGGAAATAATACCATCCGAGGCACCATGTCGGCTCTGAAAATAAAAAATTAAAAAAAAACATTGTGCAATCACCGTATCCTAAATATTTAGGATAGTCCTATTCTCTTGACATCAAGCGGTGTGGTGAAAATATTCGGTGAAACTAGGGGAAAGTAGTCCCGGTGACCAGCGTCAAAATCACGGCCTACCGAAGACTTTCCCCTTTTCTCAACCGATGACTCTCCTCCTCCGGACCCTGAAGTCTCCCGGCGATGCGAGATGAAAGGGGTAAGGGAACACAACCCAGTGAATCCAGAGAAGAATCCACAACGATCCACTGAGAAATGGCCCCCGACCTCTCCCCATCCAAAAGCTGGAGATGAAGCGAACGAGGACGAACACCACGTGAGCGCAAAGGGAACACAACCCAGTGATCCAATTGAAACCACGAGGAAATGGGCCCTGAGACCTCACTGGAATCAAGAGTTGCAGTGGTTTCTCAGATGTTCTGCTCAAAGCAGGTCCGAGGGAACAAAACCCAGTGTTTGATTATGGAAAGGAAAAAATCACCAGGTAATGTACCCCTGGTCCTGGTTCGATGCGAAGTCCAACGGGAAGACGACTGGAAGATGGGAAAGGCGAGGGAACACATCCCAGTGAACAAAAATCAGGTCCACTTGACAGGTGTTCACCTCGCCCATCCTACTTCGTAGGTTCATCAATTGAAGATGAAGTCACCAGCACGAGACGACGCAAGTGCGTAGCAAGAAGATAGGGCACAGCGCCCGGTGTACAGGTTACCATGAATACCGTACACCGGATGATGCACCCCAACTCCTCGGTCGCAAACGTACAAAAGATCTGAATGATGAAGACGACGAGGAACAAGCAAGGAACAGACCCAGTGAGAAGTGGAATCAATCCCACTTGGAAGAGTTCCTCGAGTCATCCCGGTCTTTCGATATCGCTGAAAAATCGCCACGAGGTAAATAGCACGTGAAATAGGAGAACTATACCCGGTGACCCGATTTCACACAATACAGGTTACCAGACACCAGTTCCCCGACTCCACGGTGCCGAAACTCCTGAAGACTTCACTGGACGATGCTTGCGGTGGAACTGATGCAAAGAACGCGGCTGGTGGAATTTTTATACCCCTTTCCTGGACGGGATCGCTCGGAGGCGTGGGAGGCGTGGGAGGGCGTCCCACCCACAGTGACCTTGGACAACCCTTTCTCTCTCCTCCCACGCCTCCTCCCTCGCCCGTCCCTCCGAGGGGTTTTTTTTTTTTTCCTAGAATTTTCCACCACCCTTTAGACTTGCTCACTCCTGCTCCTTCTCTCTCTCTCACCCTCCTTTTCTTCTCACTGTTTATCAATTGCAGGGACTATGTTCGAAAAATGAAATTATTTCCAACGTGTTGTGGAAGAGATACGAAAACCCCTCAACACGTCCGCGCCTCTTGCCAAATTTTTGCCCGTCTTAAGTCAATTGCTTACATTGCTTACATTCATGCATGGGAGGCCTGGAAATAGCACAAGCAGCGAATTGCGCCCAAAAAGGAATTCGTTCATCCATCCGCTTCCAATTTTGTTAACTCAGTAAGTATTTAAATATAAGTTAATCGCTTCGGAAGCCGAAAAATTAATCAATATCCAATGGATTTAATTAAACATTTTCGACAAATTAATATATTTAAATATCATATGGACTTCGGCACCAATTTTTCCTGCTTAGCAATATATGCTTAAAATATGCTTAACACTGTTTCATTCTCTTCATTCCCAGAGAATCTCGTCAAAAAATTATTTGCCTAATTACGATCTCTTGAAATTAGGAATGACGAAATTTTTGCAGAGCGGTAATGTTTTGTTATGATTAAATTATTTTTGCATAAATTTTACGAATTTTCAAACATTTTTTGGAATCGGCCTTCCGATTTTAAACAAATCATCAACAATCAATCCCAAATCATTTAAAGTACTAATTAATTAAAATTACGTAAATGCTCCGCAATAGTGACCACCCCAAAAGTGATTAGTTTAATCCATCTTAACCCTTTCATCGCGTCGATCGAGTATCGTCTTCGTCCCGGGAACTTCTTTTTTTTTTCTTTGTCTTTGCGTACTGACATCGGGATTAATTAGTTCGGGGTGTTTTACTCGACAGCAAAAAAATTAAATGTGCAGCGAAAGGGAAAAGCGGAAGTACGACGCTACAAGTAATATGAAACGATTAGTTTTTTCCTAATAAGTGTCGATAAGTGTGCCTACATTACATGCTTGTTTGAAATGTGTTGTATTGTTGTAAAGTATGACTCGTGATTAATGACTCGCGATTAATGACTCGCGATTAATGACTCGTGATTAATGACTCGTTAAACGAGACACTTTTGCGGAATTTTCCGTGATGAGATCCGTTTTCGACTCCGTTTTCGTCGGTTGGAGGGAGAAAACGAAAGCCCCAAGCGCTGCAGACGGTGCAATGTCTGTCACATCGGGTTAGGGCAACGAAGGGGGCGTATCTGTCGTGAGAAGGGGAAGGGGGTGGGGGAGGGGGAGGGGGAGGGGGAAGGGGGTGGGGGAGGGGGAGGGGGAAGGTGACCCGGTAACA